TATATAAAGAAGATTGATACATATACATACACACATACACACACACACACACATATATATATATATATATATATACATATATATATATACATATATTGATTATTGTAAACATAATTTATTTTTATATAATAAGATTTGTTTTGCAAAAGAAAGTCATGAAAATAAGTTAACTTTTTGAGTTAAGCCTTTTGAGTTGATTCAATGAATTTCATCCTTTTTCTTATACACATCTCTTTATTCCAATCTTCAATCTTTCATCAAAGTGATATATCTCAAACTCAGCTACAATTTACCAACATTTCAATACTTAATTCTCATGATGCACCTAATTACCTCTTGGTTCTTCTTTTAAAAAATATATATATATATACATATATATATATATAATAAGATTTGTTTTGAAAAAATAGGGTTATTCAAGTAAGATAACTTTATGACTCAAGGCTCATGAGTTGAAACAATGACTCTCATCATTCTTTCTTATACATATCTCCTTATTTCAATCTTTCAATCTCTCATCAATGTGGGATACCTCAAACTCAACCACAATTCATCAACACCTCAATACTCAATTCTCATGATGCCACCTCAATACTCTTGGTTCTTCTTTTAATAGATATATAGATTTGGATTATAGAACGGTGTAGTGGCGGCCGGCTAGATTATAGGGTTTTTTTATGAGTTGTTAAAATAAGTTAAATCACCAATTTATCTTTTATTTTATTTTAGTAAATAACAATAGTTATCTTAAATAATTGCATCATATTAGATTTTACGGTTATCACAAATTATCTAGTTCTCATTTGATTAGACCAATATATATATATATATATATATATATATATATATGTGTGTGTGTGTGTGCGCGCGCGCGTATAGTTGGAGGTTCAAACAAGAATGCCTCTATTTTACGAAAATACGAGAACACTCATATATATATATGTGATCTATGTCACTCCAAGAGTCATTTAGGTCTATGATTTAGTATCACATGTGTAACATATATGATTGATTATAACATCACATCAAAGACACCCTTATCAAATGGAATAATACACGTGAAGAGGCCTAGTGGTGTGTGGGCAACTTGACGTGCAACTTAAGTCGCCCAAAAGGACGTCCACGCCTCTGATTTATCATCACAAGTGTATCAAATGTGATAGACTATAGTATCATATATGATTGACTATAATAAAAAGTTGTTCTTGCATTTCCATGAAATGAAAATGTTCCTGTTTGAATTTTCCCCTATATGTGTGTATACATACATACATACATACACACATATATATATACATACGAACGATCATATGAGAACGGAAGTTATAGTGAGAAGCGTAAGAAGGGCTCTGGGACCTGATCATTTTTAATCTCATCCCTCCCATAAATTGCCTTTTATCATGAGAATTGATCTAGTGCATCTCGATGTATCACATTAGTATTGATCTTCAATTAGGATTGATCCAAAGATGACGATCATTACTTACCATTCTTACTGGAACCCAACTCTATATGTATGTATATATATATATATATATATATATTATATATATATATATATATATATATTCAAATGATGAATACCACTAAAATATACATGTTCGTAAGAAACAATGTTACGCATTCAATGAGTTTCATTCTACGTTAAGATTCAATGTGGCATTATATTTGTGTATGTATGTTTCATATTTAAAATGTACAACCATATTTTGTTCATGTAAAACAATTACACATGTTTCATATATAAAAAAATATTGTATTTGTGGGGTTGGGTGTCAATGGGAATGAGAGTTATGCTGATAAGGGTCACAAGGATCTCCACCTTTGGATCAATCCTAATTAAAGAGTTCTATTAGATCAACACTAATGAGAAACACTGGATCAATTGCCTTCTAAAACGCAAATCTTGGGTTGTTTTGTGATTAAAAGTGATCAAGAGTCCAAATCCTTTTTTACACATGATCATTCGTCTGTATCTGTATGTGTGTGTGTGTGTGTGTGTTTATAATGGCAACATACCCGCCTCAATTAGAGAGTTAATAGGTGTCGTAATCGAAAAAAGGGATAGCTCGACGGCACACCAACAAATTTTATTCATCTTAAAGTTTTGATAACAGACTTTCCAGACGATTGTTCATACGTGTTCTTCAATTTCCCCAACTATCAACAACTCATTTTTTTTATTTATTAAGACGGATTATATTTTCTCTTGTATTGAAAAGACGTTCGCATGCTACCTCATAAAAACCGTAACAACAATTCTCAATGTCTTGAACCTTTGGGCATTTTTTCCAGAGGTTATCAGTTCGAGTCTTGCAAGATCATTGAAGATTTTTCTAACTATTCTCCATGATCCTTGAGATTAATCGAGGTGCACATAAAATATTTTAGACACACGGTTAAAAAAAACCAACATATACTCAACATTAAAACTTCTATTTGTTTTAAAAAATAAAAAAAATAATAAGTTGAGAAAAGATCTATATTGAAAATAAAATCAAATAAAATCAAAGAGTAATAAGGTTGTTGGAAATGAGAAATGGGATTAAGACAAAAGGTTTAGATGCGGGAGAGAGATCACGCCAATCCTCGTAGAGGGACAGTTTTATTCCCCCAAGTACCCAAAAAGCAACCATCTGTCTCCTCTCCCCTACCCTATCTTCCATTATTGGCCCTTTTTCACAATTTATCCATTTTTTTTAAAGTGAAAAATAGAATTTAAAAGATAAAAGGTTAAAATTAAACGAATCATTTGTTCTCGTATGATAACACACAGAATTTCCTTAGATTACTTTTCAAATTGTAATTAAAAAAAAAATTCAAGTTTTAACATATATTGAGAAGAAATAATTAAAGTTTGATTGATATAGAACTCCAGCATCGATATCGAATACTGCTTTTACGAAAACAAAAAGAATCAATACATGGAAATGAAAGAGAGTAAACACATGAGTTGTTAATAGCTTAATCATCAAATACATTTGACATAAAAAAAATATAGGATCGATGTTATCTTATTAGGCGGTAGCCGTGAATGAAGTTTAAACAAAAATTAGATATGCTTCACAATCACTCATAGTACAAAAACTCAACAGAAAGGAAATCTTTGATTACGGACAAGGAAAAGATATGCACGTCATCTTTTACTACGTAGAATAACTTGATGTGACGACCTAATCTACATAATTTTCATTTCATAATAAGTTTGTAACTTGTTATAATGTTACATAGTTCGAAAAATTATATTTTCATAACAAATATATGAGTTCAATCTACGTAGAGACAAGAGCTCTAAAAGAATTCAATGTATTCCCAAAAGCAAAAGACTAAAAGAAATCGTCCAAATTTGGTTGTTTTCGGCAATGTACCAAATCCATCATGATACATTGAAAACGCTCATATTCAAAACTATAGTTTGATAAATTTTATAGAAAATTGTTGCATTTATTTTGAAACCAAAAGAGTAAGAAATGATAAACACGAAAAAGGTTGGAAGCACTTTGCTTTTAAAATGTATGATCAGTGGGGGCAACTTTCCCTTTATTCACTTTATTTGAATTTCTGCTGGGGCTGTCTGTCCATTCAAAGCAGTAGTAAAGAAAAGCCAGCCACTGCCCCATTTTTTTATATTTTTTTTGAATTTTAATAATTACAATTCATGTGGGTCCACTTTCTCAACAATCTATTTTCATCACAATACTCACCCACCAATCACACAAACATTTCTAATCCTAGTATCAATTATCGAATCAATTATTTTATATATCGGTTATTTTAATTACTTGATAGTTGGATTGATAACTTGTTAATAGTTAACTAATAAAATAATGGTAAAACAGTTATATTTTATAAAAACTAGTTTACATGTTAATTAATAATATTAAATGAATTAAAATGAAAATATAAATATAAGATATATATAGTATATTGTTTTTTTTATTAATTTGGATATTCAACCTGTTATGCGAGCCGACTAATCCCAAAATGACCATTTGTTTTGCAAATAAAACGGAATCATAGCATTTGAATCTCCGTGGCCACACAAGAAGATTTTTATTTTTTTTTGTATTTGAATCTGATACCTCCTGGTACTTTTGACATTTGAAGTCAAACTCAAACCAATTAAACACCACCCTTGTGGTTTAGTATATTATTTATCATACATGTTTATAGATATTAGCTGTTTACTTACTTATGTAATATATAGATTCTTAAATTTATATTTAAATAAAATTGAAATTATAAATAGTTATTCAAGATGGCCTCTTGATAAATAGACTCCATTGTTGTATTAGTAATTTCTTATTTAATATTTAAAAAATTTGAGAGTTGTGTTTTTAAGGAGTGATAACTATAAACTGAAGACAAGGAAAAAAAAGCAATTGAACGGGAATTTAGAAAAGCCAAAAGCAAAAAAAGTGATTGCATGGGAAGTTAAATGACAGCATGACTTTTGCTGATGGCAAAGGAAGTACCACTGCTTTGAAGAATACCATGTGCATCAACAGTTGTACCATAACAACAATTTTGTAAAATCATGACTGTACAAAACTTATCCAACAAAGAAATAAATATAAAAAGTTAATGAAACTGATCATATAAATACAAGTATTTGTAAAGGTGATGTTATATATATATACACACACACATATATGTATATCATACATCCTCCTACTATAGCCTAACCTTCTTCATCACCATCTTCTTCTTCTCTAGCTGAAGAAAACTCTATATTTTGCCATTTGGTGTTTCTTGAAGAACTAACAAGAGGGTGGGCGTTTAGAGAGAGAGAGAGAGAGGGAGAGTAGGGTTCTTCATAGCTTAACCTTCTTGCTGTCTAGCTGAAGAGAACCTTAATTTTGCCAATTGGTGTTTCTTGAAGAACTAACAAGAGGGTGGGGGTTTAGAGAGAGAGAGAGAAGGGTTTCTTTGGTTGAAGAAAGATTGAGCTAGGGTTTCATCTTTAGAGGGGTGTGGGGGGTGGGTGCTGGAGCCAAGTGATGCGCTCAGGAGCTTGTACTGTACAACAGACACTCACAACAGAGGCTGCTTCTGTTTTGAAGCACTCTCTTAGCCTAGCAAGGAGGAGAGGCCATGCTCAGGTCACTCCCCTTCATGTGGCTGCAACTCTTCTTATGAGCTCAAGAGCCAGTATTCTAAGAAGAGCTTGCCTCAAATCACAAAACAATTCTTCATCTTCTTCTCAAAATCCTCTTATAAACCCTACTAACCCACCTCTCCATTGTAGGGCACTTGAGCTTTGTTTCAATGTGGCACTCAACAGGTTGCCCACAACCCCTGGACCACTCCTACATGGCCAACCTTCACTTTCCAATGCTCTCATTGCTGCACTCAAGAGAGCTCAAGCTCATCAGAGAAGGGGGTGTATTGAGAACCAACAGACTCATCAAAGTCAGCAGCAGTGCCACCAACAACAGCAGCCCCCATTGTTGGCTATTAAAGTGGAGCTTGAGCAGCTTATTCTGTCTATTCTTGATGACCCAAGTGTTAGTAGGGTTATGAGAGAAGCTGGTTTCTCAAGCACTGCTGTGAAAAGTAACTTGGAAGATTTTTCTTCAAACTCTTTAACATCTGCACCAAGAGTATTCTTTAGCAGCTCTGGTGGTGGTGTTTACTCATCTCCTTCCTCACCAAACTCTGATCACCAATACCATCATCAGAACCCTACTTTCTGGCAAACCCATTTCTTGAATCACTCTCCTGATCAAAACCCAGTTTTCATTTCTCCTTCCAAGAAAACCCCATCTCCAGATCAATCCGATCATTCTTTGAAGAAAGACGTGAGCTTGGTTGTGGAGGTTTTGCTAGGAAAAAAGAAAAGAAAAAACGCAGTGATCGTTGGAGATTCTTTATCGTTAACAGAAGGCGTAGTCATTGAGCTTATGGGGCAAGTAGAAAGAGGAGATGTCCCAGATGAATTAAGATGTGCTCATTTCATTAAGTTTCAGTTCTCATCAGTGCCATTGAGGTTCATGAAGAGGGAAGAAGTGGAGATGAATTTAGCCGATTTAAGAAGAAAAGTGGAATCTCTTTCGTCAACAGGTGGAGTTATCATATATGCAGGTGACTTGAAATGGACAGTTGATGAGAAAGAAAACATTGGGGGAGTGATTGGCTTATACAGTCCAATTGATCATCTTGTTGTTGAAATTGGGAGGTTGGTTTCACAGTATAATGTCACTAACAAAGTCTGGTTAATTGGGACTGCAAATTATCAGACATTCATGAAGTGCAAGATGAAAAAGCTTTCTCTTGAGCTTCAGTGGAGTCTTCAAGCTGTTTCTGTTCCTTCTGGTGGACTTGGGTTGAGTCTCAATGCTGCTGCTGCTACTACTACCAGCTGGTAAACTAAATCAATACAACTTCTCTTAACTTAATTAATTAAACTACAAACTTATTTGATTACTTAATTGGTTATCATGTGAAAAGCAACATATTTGGGTAGGTATTTTAGTGAATCTTTAGTGACCAAAATGGCTTTTTTGAGTTTGTAGTTAAAAACATTCCTGTGTCTGAACACAGGAGCATGAGAGCATGCTGACTCTGGGAAAAGCAAGGTTGGGAAGGGGAGACAGTCTTGTTGTTTTTTCCTTTTCCTTTTTAATTTTTTTGCCTTTTGATTTTGTCTTTATTTTCATAATTGGGACATATTTTCTGACTCCACAGAAAAGGAAGACAATGACCAATTTTCCCATATTACGAAACAAAAAATAATTTTCCCATTATTTATTTCAGTGAAAGATTACATCTTTAGTCGATAAGATAATTAATTAATTGTCGAATTCTTTCTTTAAATAGAGCAAGTAATTAAGTTTCTTGATAATGTTCATAGGATTATTAGATTTTACAGTGTGGTTGCAGGAAATGTATGAATTAGCTACTATAGAATTAACCATCATATTTTTGTCTTAATTTATATGATGATATGATTGCTAATGGTTTTGTAGTGGCAATGAATCAAGGGTAAATTTGTCAAACAACACAAGAACCGATGAAATGGTGGATAGGAAGCCATTGATAAGCAGCAAAGAAGAAGGTGATGAAGATGATATGGTCGTGATGAATTGTTGTGGAGAATGCAACTTCAATTATGAAAAGGAAGCTGCTGCTGCTGCCGCCACTGCGACCGCCACCGCTAAGCCCTCCACCGTCTTACCCTTTTGGCTGCACCCATCCACACCCATTTCGTCCACCCTTCACAAGGTTTGGCTCCCATCATATAATGTGAGAAAAAGACTATAATACCCTTCACGTACGATGGATACCCAATGGATTATATATATTTCTCACGACTGAAAAGCCGACAGCTTCCTGATGGATGATTCTGTCGGTTTTTTATAATTGATTTCAAGGGAAAATTCTTTTACAACGGAGCACTCCATTGCTAGTTTTCTTTCGAGTTTGCATGGCTAGATTGTATTACAATCGTTTTGCCATTACTCTCGATGGATTAGTTTTTTGGGTTGAATATTCCGTTGCAAATGATGTCTGAGAAGACAATAATACCCTTCACAAGTGATCGTTTGTAGTAGGGCATTTGTACAAGGATACATTGGATACTTGGATAATTCTATCAGTTTAATAATTAGTTTGACGAAATAGTTTTTGTTGCACTGTTATGAGCTTAAAAGTTTTCTTGACGATTTTCAGGAAAACTTAATGGAGCTGAGGAGGAAGTGGAACAAATTATGCCAAAGTTTACACCAAGGAAGGCACAATCTGAACAACAATTACATGAATTCGTCACCATTAATAACCAACGACAATCAAGGATTGACTGGAAAAAGTTACTCCTACAACTCATCGTGCTATCCGTTTTGGCCAAACAACAATAATCATCTAAAACACAACTCATGCATCTCTTTTGGTGAAACTTTGAAGGCTCAAAATGGTGAGGGAGAGAGATCTTATCCCCGATTCAGAAGACAACAATCTTGTCACATTGATCTCAGTTTCAGCAGTGGGAATCATCAGAAAGTCGATCAAGAACCAAACTTGGATTGTCTCAAGAGTAGAGAAGATGATAAAGAAGTGAAAATCACGCTCGGTCTTGGTTATTCAGCCTCAGATTTGTGCAGGAGACAAGATGTTTACAAGTGTTTGCAAGAAAATGTGCCATGGCATTCGGAGAAAATGCATTTGGTTGTTGAGTTTTTGATGAGTTTTTCGTCATCGAAAGCTGTAAAGAGAGATTTTTGGTTTTTGATGGAGGGGAATGACTCCATAGGGAAGAGACGATTGGCAATGGCAATTGCGGAGGCCATATTTGGGTCTAAAGATTCGTTTTTGTGCTTTAACATGAGGGGTTCCCTGAACAAATGCCACAATCTTGAAAGGGCGCTGAAAGATAAAGATGTGGTTGTTTTTGTTGAAGATGCTGATTTTGGAGATGGGAAGTTTTTAAAATCTTTAAGTGATGGATTTGAGAAGGGTAACTTCGGTGAAAACGGTCATGTTATATTTGTTTTGAGCAAGAGTGATCATCTTGAGGATGACAAAAGAAGCCGGATTTCAACAACTCAACTGAAATTGGTTGTGAACCAGATGAATCCAGCCACAGAAATCGATCAAAAGCGAAAGACAAAGTGGGATACGGATGAATTAAGCAAGAGGAAAGTTCCAAGAATAGAAGAGGACGAAATCAAGAAAGACTTGTCTAGGCAATCAAGCTCAAACACTCTTGATCTCAATGTCAAAGCTGAGGCTGATCAACACGACGAAAATGAAGACACACTAGAATTCAGTCCTAATTCAAGCGATTTGACCCGTGAAATGGATGGTAGTCCACGAAATCCACTTGGGTTTCTTGAGACGGTGAAAACCCGGTTCATATTTGACCGATCTCCAGCTCGAGATAGCTTGATGAAAGAGAGCTTGATGTTCAAGATAAAAGGGGCATTTGAGGAAGTGTTTGGCAGCATAGAATTTGAGTTGAATGTGGAAGAAATGGTGTTAGAAGAGGTTTTATTTGGGTTTGGGTTATACTTGAATGGCTTATTTGAGAAATGGCTGAAAGAAGTTTTTCAAACAAGCTTGGAAATGGTGAAAAGTGGGGGGACAGGAGTAAAAAGTTTAAAGGTGCGTTTGGTGATAGATGAAAAAGATGGGGATGGGGTTGGTATACAAGAAAAAGATGAGGGGTTCATGGGTTCGAATCTCCCTAACAAAATCAAAATATGTTTTATTATGTAGGTTTATCTCACTTCTGTAAAAATATGAAATTTTCTATAAATCAAATGCTTCTGGTTTCATAGAGTTGTGATTTTTGTTTAATAATGCAAACTATGATGAAAATAAAATGGAGAAGTCGGATACTGAATTACTTGAATTAGGAAGTAATTGTACAACCTGAATGTATACTACTACACCTACATAAATAACTACCACAAACCTCTAGCTAGCTCATCACCAAACTAATCGTAATAACTGAATAACAATATTAGTTAAATTGATCGAAATGTCCTTCAACACCAATCGATCTATAAGTTGTAATACTCCTTCTCAAGAAAAACAGGGAGAGTATATATATTCTTCAGGGTCATCTTGAAAATCATCATCTACACTGTACCTCTTGGTAAAGCTTTTGCGGAAAATATCTGCAAGTAGAGCATCGATTGTGAGGATATCAATTAAAGGAACTTATCAGCCACATTTTCTCGAACAAAATGATATATAGTTAAGATCGATATTTTTACTAAGTTGTGTTTAAGAAATCGTTAAGCAGATTTGTTGTCATAAAATAACAAAACAAACTTTTTTGTGATGAACATCCAAATAATGTAGTTTGTATTTAATGAAGACAAGTTCAAACGTCTTAGAAGCCATGGCATGATACCTATCTTATGCTGACGATCTTGATGTTGTCGGTTATTTCTTAGACCCCTAATATGATATGAATAATTACCCAAAAGATACACAAAACCTTATAACCAATCTCCACTTGTCTGTATATGACTCAATCAGAGTCAAAATAAGATTGTGATTGGTAATTAGATTTTGCAACTTGGTTATTGGTTTAAATAACAAACAAGATGCAAAGCAGCTCACTAATGGGGTAAACGAGGCTTTGACATGAATAGAGATAACTTCTAAAGTGTAAATGAATTTCTTGTCTATCATGATTATGTGAAATAATCTTTCAACCAATATTTGATGCTTGGAATAATTAATCTTCAAGAATATTACCATCATCATCATTCAAAGTAACTTTAGGATCCATAAGAACAAGGGTTGTTTCATTGACATGAAACCCTGTATCCTCCAGAATTGTCTTTGTGAGACAGATTTTCCACAAACCCTTTGATTTCCATTCCAAGGAAGTATTTCAACTACCAATATCTTTTAACTTGAATTTACGGGTTAAATCAATTCTTAATTGCCAAAATTCTTGATGAAGAAGCTCCTATGATTACAATATCATAAACGTACACCAATAATGTGTTGAAACAAACTAAAGAACACAAAATTGCAGGAGAGATTATGGGAAGAATTCAAGAAAGGAAATAGTTTTGTACACAAATTCACAGATCTTTTTTCATATATGAATATCATTTCACATCAGATACTTACACACACACATATATATATATATACACCATGTGATGGTTATTTTCTTAACCAACACAATGGTTGATAAATAACTTCCTATAACTACCACTTGATAACTTATCTAAATAAACAATACTAATTATATACATATATAAGATACTTAGCTTATATTTCAACACACCCCCTTAAGCTAAGTCACATATACTACTTCCATGACACATTAGACCTCAAGTTTTGTAGCTTCCAATCAATCAATCTTCAACCATTGCTTTGTCAACAGCCACAATTAAGTCATCCTTTTCAGTCAAGTCTTTCCACATATCATTCTTCACAATGTCATCAATCCCAAAAGTCATAAACATTGTTTCACCCTCTTTAGTCTCATTCTCTTTCATAAACTTTGCATCATCACTCTCATCTTTTTGTCTTTTCTTGCAATACTTCAAAGTATGCCCATATTTGTGACAATAGTAGCATTGAATCTTGCATAGAGGCCTTGGTTGGAATCTTCCTTTAGAGAAACTTTCACAATTATCATTAGAATCCCCTTTCAATGGAACTCGTGAGTGAAATGCTTGTTCCATAGGACTATCATCAAGGTTTCTCATTCGAAGTTCATGAGATTGGAGGATCCCTAATAAATTCTCCAAGGAAAGTGATGTCAAATCCTTTGATTCTTCAATGGCCACGACAATATACTCGAATTTTCGAGTTAAACTTCGAAGAATCTTTTCCACCACCTTCTTATCTTCTATTGTCTCACCATTCAATTGCATTTGATTGAGTAATAGTATGACACGATTATAGAAATCTTCCACCGAGTCGGTTTCTTTCATTTTGATGTTATCGAATTCACACTGTAAAGTTTGTAGCCGAACAATCTTAACTCGGTCTTCTCTTTTGTAAGTCTTATATAACATATCCCAAGCATCCTTAGATGTCTTCGACAGGGAAATTCTCTCGAATATGACTTCATCAAAGGCTTGAAAGATAAAAAATAGTGCTCTCTTATCTTTTTGCTTACTTTTCCTAAAATCCGATCTTTGTGTTGGCCGTCAATGCACTTAGATCTGCAGGCTCTTGTATTCCATCATCAATGAATTGCCAAAAATTTTGAGATTAAAAAAAGGTTTACATCTGAATGCACCAATGATAGAAATTTCTTCCATTGAATTTTGGTAACATTGCTTGAAAAACATTGTTGTTTGAAGCCACTAGAGTTTTAATCTTTCCTATGTTTTTGTTCTCGGTTTCCCGTGATCTTGAACACGGGCTCTGATACCACTTTGTTGGAACAAACTAAAGAACACAAAATTGCAGGAGAGATTATGGGAAGAATTCACGAAAGGAAATAGTTTTGTACACAAATTCACAGATCTTTTTTCATATATGAATATCATTTCACATCAGTTATATACCATGTGACGGTTATTTTCTTAACCAACACAATGGTTGATAAATAACTTCCTATAACTACCACTGTGATAACCGGATCCTGGTTATCACCCGAGGTAATTAATATGTGATTACTTGTTAAAATGATTATGTGACAGTATGATAAATTGTTACATTTGATCATGCTAGTATGTGAAATTTTATGCATAATATGGATGCATGTATGAGATTGGATGTGTGCATGTATGCATGAAATGTATTGCAAGCATAAGGGATGCATGGTTGGAGGTGGTTTAGCCGCCATACTCTTTTTAGAAAGAGTATAAAAGGGGTATGAAGTTATCATTTCTCTCTTCTTGCCAAAATTGAGAATAAGTGTGCGACTTAGAAGAAGAAGTGGTGACCGGATTTGATTCTCATCTACATTTCAAGAAAGTTTTCAAAAAGAAGAATTGGTTTCAAAAAGGTGAGTAGTTAAATGCTTTTCAAACATTTCAAAATTGTATGTATGAGGTTTGAATTGGTTATTTATCAATTGATAATATTGATCGGTTAGTGTTAAATCGGTTGTTATCCGGATTTAGTTAAACCGGATGAGCTTTAGGCGATTTATATTTATACCGGATGAGCCTTAGGCGATTTATGTGCAAACCGGTCAAGGGTTAGGCAAATTAGTCTTAAACCGGACATAGGTTCACCCGGTTTAAGGATAATCCGATCAAGTGTTGACCGCTTTACATGATGAGCGAGTTATGAATATTGAAATATGATCAAACATTTTTAACCGGAGAAGTATGAATACGATAAAAAGGTGGCCGGTTTATTCTAAATCGGACAGCAAGGCATAGTGTTGTCCGGATTTGTAATCCGAACAAAAGTGTTGGAATTATTTCTAAGTTTAAATCGGACAAGCTTTGAGAAGTGTTGTCCGGATTTGTTATCCGGACAAGGTTGACCGGCTTGTCCGGATTAGGGTTGACTAATCAAATGATGATTCTTTTATATAATAAAGGGAATTTTGATAATTTGAGACTGATAATAATTCCATTGACTGTGGTCTATTTGGAATTGTTTTTGTGAAATATTTTGATGAGGAAATAAGGGTGACATATCAAGGAGAGGTGTACCATGGGATAAGGGTGGCATATCAAGGAGAGATGTACATTTGGATATAAGGGTGACATTTGTGTGTATTATGAAATATAACTCCTATTATTATTTCCTTTAAGATTACCGTGGTCTGGAATCTTTATTTCTTTGTGACTTAAAGGTTTAGGATCAGGGTTCTTATTGCAAAACATAGTCTGGATGTTATTGAGAAGAAGATACCAGGTTTGGCCTGAAACTTTAAATTAACCTTATTTGATTTGAAGGTTTAAAAGTGGCATCATGATAATCTGATTAGTACAAACCAGTTTTGGGTTTGATGTATTATTTTGTCAGCAGAGAAATTTACTTGAAAAGTGAAAAGTATTGGTATCATATTCTCACTTGCTCATATATTTGTTATTTATATGAAAAGTTGTTTTTGTTGGTCCCGTAAGGGTCTACAAGAAGAGAAACAGTTTGTAGAAGGGGGGAGGGGATGAATACAAACACAATATTTTCAAATTTAAAATATATATTGATAGAGAAGATCAATACAGATTTTACAAGATTGTTTGCGGAAAGATAAG